TCACACGAAATACAAATGCTTCATAACGTAATACTATAGCAGGAGTTTGGAATAATCATTTTCATTTATTAAATTTTTTTTTCAAATATTTATCCGTTGGCTATTAATTTTTAGAAATCTAATAACTATAAACGGTAAAGTATTTTAACCATCATATTACAGAATTTATTGACGCACTTCTTTATTTATATGTGTATTAAAAACTTCACGGCTCTTAAAAATTAATAAATGATGCTAACTTGTCTAAAAATGAATTATAAAACTTATCGAAAAATTAAACATAAAAGAATTGTAGAAATTAGCAATTAACAACAATGCGTCCAATTGGTACCAATGTAACGTATCCTTCCACTTCTTTTTTAATATTATCGTCCAAGTTTAAATATCTGGTAACACCCACATAATTCAAAGATCTTTTTCGTAAGCAGAATTCTATTAACGCTTTAGTTTTTTTCTCATTATCAAGCCGATTAATTAGCAGATTTTTTAAAGGTGCATTACAATTATTGAGCAAAATATCAACATTTGAACTTAAACAAGAATACCTTAAGTCAAGGTATTGTAATGTTAACGGTAATATTTCTGCAAATTGAGTAATTCGTATTTCTAATCCTTCATCTATATCATAAATGTACCATATCGTGAGAAATTGAAGTTTTTGTAAATTATCAATAAGTTCTATGAATTGTGTGGAAAATCCAACATTTGAAATGTTGAGATATGTAATATTTGGGCAGAAGGATTTAAGTGCTTCTAGTAATAACGATTCTTCCCAAATTTCTTCATCTGTTGATTCAAGTTTTAATCGTTGTAATAATGAGCCAGACTTTTGTAAAATTTGTACTATATTCGATGCATAAATCGAGAAACTAGTAATTTCTAAAGTATTGAGATTTGCCTCTAATATTTTCACATCATTGCAATATCTGATACGAAGTATTTCTAAATTTGTACAATTCATTAACACCTTGAATTCTGAGCTACAAGCACAATTCTCTATTAAAACTTCCTGTAATGAAATTTTTTGGCTCTCTAAAGCTGAAATGACGCCGTGAAAGTTCGTAGGAAATCCTTCTCCACCAACTAAACTAAATTGCCTAAGTTTCTCTTGTGATTGAATAATACATATAAGTGCATGAAGTAATTGTGGTTCGTAATAATCAGAATAAAATTCTTCAAGTTTCAAAGTACTAATTTTTGTAGTATTTTTTGCCAAGATTCTTAATAACGCAGTAACATTTTCAGTATTTAAATCTGATATTGGACCCAAAGATAAATCTTGAATTCGAGAAAAAAATTGTTCATTTCGTCCTAACGAGTAGAAGATTTCTGGATTAATTTTATAATTAGAAAAATATAAACCTAATTTGTGTAAAGTTGCCCCACTCTCAATAAATGATTTAAATAGTAAATTAATTATGCGATATATTGATAATGTGTAATATGGTTTTGAACCAGCAAGCTGAAAATCGATCCATTTTCTAACCTTCCTTTCTAGAATGAATAAATCGAGAACCTTTAGAAATCTTGCATAATTAAATAGAGTATTTGGAAATTTTATATCTATCCCATATTCTTTCAAAATGAATTTTTCGTTTTCGTCAAGAGAAGAAAAGTATTTAGAAATAAATAATGGACTTTGACTATATGAAAACGGATTTTGCCAAAGAATAGGAATTGACATTTCGCACCAATGTCGGCTCACAAGTGCGCACGAGTATAAGGAATAAATTTCATTATATAAATTATTAAGAATATTTTCCATTAATTCGGGCATATTACCCATAACTATTTTTGATGCCATCAATTTACTTTAAGTTGTATTAACAAGAAAGGATTAAGTCTGTTATTGTTACACGTATTTGTAAGTATTTTCTCTATAATAAGACAGAGTTAAAGAAATAAAAAAAGTGTATGTGCTGAATAAGTCGCCTCTTTCATGCTTTAGGAAACAGATCTTTACCTTTTTTTATTCAATCAAATGCATGATTACGTTTCATGTGCAGTGCATGACTTAAATCCCATGTAGGCCAGTTCGGATTTACTGATTTGTGCCGGTAATAAACTAAAGTGGTATGGAAAGGGTAGAGATCTAAGGTTAGGGTGTTGGAATTGGATGCTATAGCGATAGATTGTTGCTTATTGTATGTAAAATTTCTTTCCCATTATTTTAATTAAAGCACAGAGATCGATTTAATCACTAGTTTTAGAGGATTTTCGTTTTTTTCTTTGTTCGGAATTCATGCTGGGCTGATCCAGAATGATCAAATTAAGCAAAGCCACTAATCCAACGACAGTAAACTTTCAGTACGAATATGCGTGGATTTATAGGGAAGTGTTATTGATTTTTATTTCTTTATTAGGATCGGTTTTATATTTATAAAGTACTTTAGTACTTTCTGTATATTACGATGAACCAACTTCAATACGGTAAAGAATCGAGATTATATAAAGTAAATACACAAGTAGAATTACAAGCAGGGTTATTAAATAATACTTTTAATCACTAGAATTTTATATAATTTTCTGCCTTGTAAAGAATTAAAAGTATTCAATTGTCATTCATTTATCCTTCTGGCAGTACCAAGAAAGTATCGGTTACGCAGCTTTTCTCATTTATTTATGATTTGTAAAAAAATTTATTCTTAGCAGATGGGCCAGAGCTCTGATGTACATTCATGACGTACATGACAATAACTACGTATTTACATATTACAAATAGATTTATTACATAATTTATTTAAATATTAACCGCCACATCACACATAAATAATTCGATCATCTGATTGTCTCTTCTTTTTTTTTGTCATAATTACATAATATTCGTAAATCAACATCGAAATTACACAAGTTTGTACACACTTAAATCATGCTTTTGGGTACAGCCAATCAATAATGTTAAAAACAGATGAATTCTGAATTTGATAGATAGAAATACCTGGTATAGTCTTTTTTTTTTCTACAATATAACGAAAAAGTTGCTTCACAAAAAAGTTAGTTAATTTTTCATTTTGCATTACGTGGAGCCTGAATGGTAATACGTTTTTGTCGGATAATACTGGACAAATGTAAAAAAAATGATTTAGTATAGATAATTAGACGGATTTGGGGGATTTGACCTTATTTAAATCCCCTAAATTTACAAGATCAAAATTTGCTTCGTAATACTTTACCAAGAAAAACGGGTTCTCTTAGCATTATTTATTTTAGATCCCGATACTAGAGATGCAGGCGGAACTTAAATCATTGGGAAAATCCATGTCGCAACTGAGTTATAACCAGTTACAACTTTTTGCTTTAAAATACGGTATGCTATAACTTGCGTATCTACTAAAATAGTTGTTTTTGTTATAAATTTTGTATGTGCCGTAACTCAATTTTATATGCCTTAACTTGCCGTAATTAGAAAACTTTTTATTGCGTTATACAGCAAATGTTTTAAATTAATATTACTGCTATAGCTTACACAAATACAGAACTACATGCATAAAGGAATATATACTAACATTAAAGTACATTATATGAAAAAACAATGCTGTTATAAAATAAATCTAAGCGAATTTATTTATTATTCTAATTATTTATTCATTACTTTCATCATTAAAAATCAGAGCCACTAAATGTGATGTATTATAATTAAGATTTCCCAATCCAACTCGTTGAGTATTATTATTCGGTACCATACTTTGGCTTTCAATAAATAAGTTATTATTGCCAATAAAGGCTGGATTTGAAAGATCGATAATTTCATCGATTAGCAAATTTGTATCGTTTACTTCATATAATTGCATGTCGAAAGTTCCAGAAATAGGTTCAAATGAATCAGAAGATTTTTCTGATTGTTCAACAAATTCCATTTGGCTAGCATTGATAGTTGACCCATTTACACTATCTTTTAAATCACATTCCAATAGTTCCTTGCCATAAAAAGATAATTCACTTTTAATATTAGTATAGCAAAATGCCCAAATTTTTGCTATTGCTTCCAAGCGAAAAATATTAAGCCTTGTTCTTTGATCACCAAATATCCATTTTAATGTTGAAAAGTTACGCTCACATACGGCTTGAGATGGTGGAATGGAAAATTAATGAGTCTTTTTGAGCATCAATGCTTTAGCTATTTTAATCAATGCTACATAACAATTAGCAATAGTTGCATGCTGACTTTCTAATTGATTCACCATATCTTTAAGAGGTTTCAATATTGATACTATTGGTTAAAAAATTCATGATTTTGGATTAAGTCAAACACCATCTTGTTAGAGATCGTAATAGCATGATTATTAATAAGCTAATATAAATTAATTAGTAATAATTAAATGGTTAGCTTAATTTTTATTTGTTAAAAAAGATAATAATAAGTTTACCCAATCAAAAACAGGCTGCATACAGATTATAGAATCTATAGTCATATAAAGAGAACCCCATTGCGTTTTACAATATGTCTTGAGTTCACCACCTTCAATATTCATAATAGCTATACCTTTCTTTAAATAGCAATTAGCTATTGATGAGTGATGAAAAAAATTTACTATAGATTCACATTGTTTGATTAGATTTTTAATTTCATCTATTTCTGCCAAATCTAATGCTATTAGATTTATTGCATGTGCACCACATCGTACATTAAGTATAAAATTAAATTGCTCATTGACTAATCATCTTGCCTATCTTATATTAGAACCATGGTCTGTAACAATTGCAGCAAATTTTTCAGATCCAACTTCATTTAATACATTATTAATTTCTTCAGCTAAAAAATTTTCTGTTTGTGATATAGTAATCTTTAATTTGAAATAGATGTTCTCATCGGTTAGGAGTTGTAATTATATAATTATAAAACAATGCATCTGTAGGTGCAGTCCACTCATCAAGAGCTAAAAATATATTTATTAAAAAAATTAAAATTAAAAATTATAATATCAATGTAAATTTTATTTATAATTGTATTATGTAATAACTCTAGATACATAATTGTTATCTTGAATATTAAAAAAAAATTATTTACTTAAGGTCAAATTTGTTTCATCTTCTAACTCAGTATCAATTAACTTTTCAACCTTAGCAATTTCTTCATCCAGAATGCATTCAGGAAGAGTATACTGTGAAAGAGGTTTGTATCCAATATTTAAAGTTTTGAACATGTCAATAATAAATGAGTTGTCTATAGTCTCAAATGGAATTCCAGCACAAACCCAACCCTTTAAAATAGCTCTGTCTAGTTGTCGCTGCCTTTCTCCGTTATTGTTTCTAAATCTAATTGATTAGAAATATTATACTGTGAAGAAAATCCTAATCTAGATTCAATTTTATTCCGTCTTTTAATGGTTTTTTCCTCCATTGCCAAATTATCATGCCATATATCTTTAATTTCTTGAGGAACATTTTCACATTCACATGCCAACTGTCATTTAAGAATTTGTGGCTTTTCATGATTCCATGCAAGTAGACAATGCTTACAACTTGCTCCATAATGCCCATCTCCTAAATGGTTACCAATATCAACATAATCCCAAACTGGATCTCGTTTAGGCCCACCACGACATTTCTTTTTAGGTTGATCAGGTGAGCTTTCTTCGGATAGGGCATCATGATCATCATTATCTTGAGTAGATATAATAATTTCATTTGGTTCTTGAAGCGATCTTGGTAATTGTTGAGAGGATTGATATGTAAAAAGTTGGTTAATGTTGTAATTTAATTCAGACAATGAAGAGTGTGGATTATAGCTATTATCTTCTGGAATAAAAATATTTTTATCTTTGTTTAAATTCATTATAAAAAACGTTCGCTAAGAATAATTCAAGGAAAAAAAATAACTCAACAAAAATATAAACTATTTTTTTTATTTTCATTTATTACGTAGATTATTTACATATTACGTAGATTATTTACATATTACGTATGATTATTTACATATTAATTACATATATTTTTATCGAATTTATATTATATATGTATAGTATAGAATCGCAAATATGTCAAGTATGCTATATTATACATAATGTATAGTGGTA